AAAAAAGAAAAAAAAAAGAAAGAACCTAGACACTTAGACCAACAAATAAAAGTTACTTTTCACTCAGCCATCATAAGATATAAGCATACCTCCATATGCAACAATATCAACCTCTAGAAAAGCCTGCAAGAGAAATTAAAAGTTCAAAATAATAAGAATGGTGTTGGGTAGAGAATAAAAAATAAATAAAAAATCAAGAATCAGATAACATGTCTATAGAGAAAACTGGTCTTCTGTCATAAAAATCTCCTTGATCATAAGTAATGAACACTTCGCCATCGATGTTCTGCAAATAACTTCAAGCCCAATTACACTGAGCAAGATTATTCTTCCAGCTCTTGCACAAAAATCAAGAATAAGATAACATGTCTATAGAGAAAACTGGTCTTCTGTCATAAAAATCTCCTTGATCATAAGTAATGAACATTTCGTCATCGATGTTCTGCAAATAACTTCAAGCCCAATTACAGAGCAAGATTATTCTTCCAGCTCTTGCACAAAAATTCTTCCCAAATATTTGTTATTCCAATGACATAACATGTAAACCTTTTTTATCAATAAGCACATATATATCAACCAAGAACATCAAATCACTTCCTATTCAGTAGCACCAGAAATTACAGACAGAAGTCAAGAATACGTTAAATAGCATCAAAACCAAACATGTTAATTTAAAAGCAATTTAGTCTTGAGTACCACCTACGAATCTTCAAATTTAAAACTCTGAACCATTGCCCCCCCACACACTCAACACACACAAAGACCACACTCTCACAAATGTGCACAGTGTGTATAGCTAGAAGTATACCTGACGCGCAAGGGAAAGGGCATGGTACTGCATACGGGGGCTACGCCCAATGTCACCAAGAACCACCACTGCAGCCCTATCTCTACGCCTGATCGTCGATTTTTTCTCCCCTAAATTTATCATTATTCATATAATATATTAATTTATGTGACTAAAAAATACCGACGATAATAAATATAATGGCGTAAATTAAACGGAAGCTGGAAAAAATAAACGAAAGGAAATTCACCTGCCATTGGAAAAAAAGGGTTGGAGAGGTCTCTGAAGAGCAAAATACAGGTAACTCCAATTTTGTCGGAGAGAGAATTCGATCGCTGGAGCCCGAAATTCAGCTCGAGGGTTAGTTTTTAATCAGACATATTTTTGGGGTAATTTTCAAATTGGGAACTTGCCATTTTTCATTTTGTCCAAAATTTTTTACCATTCAACACAATAGCCTTATAAGACTGAAAAGTCGAAATTACCCTTCTGCAGCCCTATCTCTACGCCTGATTGTCGATTTTTGCTCCCCTAAATTTATCATTATTCATATAATATATTAATTTATGTGACTAAAAAATACTGACGATAATAAATATAATGGCGTAAATTAAACGGAAGCCGGAAAAAATAAACGAAAGGAAATTCACCTGCCATTGGAAAAAAGGGTTGGAGAGGTCTCTGAAGAGCAAAATACAGCTACCTCCAACTCTGTCGGAGAGAGAATTCGATCGCTGGAGTCCGAAATTGAGCTTGAGGGTTAGTTCTTAATTAGACATATTTTTGCTTATCTATCGGCACGATCTGGCTCATTTTCTGCAATTGCATTTATGCGTTAGATCATGTTAGGTGTTCACCCCCAAAAAATGATCTCAACTAATATCGGCCCACTCACATCACGTCAAGCACGGATCCGGCGCGACTTTTACCAGAGAAAGGGCGGTCAGCTGGTTAGTTTGAATACGGGAGGTATTTTTGGGCGAGAGACACAAATCTTCAGGCTCCTGCGATTGAATTTAGACGTCACTTATGCTATCAACAAGTGCTCAATTCGTTTTCCCCAACTAAATCACTCTTTTGTAATGAAATATGTGGAATGATAGATATGAGAATATATAATATAATACTGAATCTCAATATATCTTCTTCACTTGTGTTTTTATAAGAAAAAGCAAAGCATGTAAATATGTTCTTTCCTCTATCGATCGCCCCCCTTTTCAGTACAAAGAGAGATTATTTATACTAATCTAGCCGACGTGGGATCGTTGGATCAGATCCACGTGGCGACATTTCCTATACCGAAACTTCACATCATTGTCCACTCATTGCATTCAATGTTTGACAACGGGTCAGCCGCGGTAGTAGTAAGCTGACAGTGACACATTGAAACTACATACACTTTATTACAGACGTCCCATCAATCAGTTCTAATAGATTTTCGAGTCTGTTGGGAGGCAGCGTTGACATTAGCATGCGTTGAGGTCAGCTTCAGGCTTATTGACATCTGGTGCGGTTGAGATTCAGTGCTTTAGTACTTCGAACATGAGGAACTTCTGCTTTTGCATTGAGGGGCTTTAGGCAGACCTTCGTTATTTGGACTGAAAGGGATATCGGACGAATATAGTCTCGGCACTTGCATGACCTCGGATAGTTGCATCCTTTGTTATCCTTGACTATGCTGACTTTCCTGTTGACTTTTCAACTAGCTCTATGTCCACTTGGCTACAGGGAGTACGTGACTGTACACGTGGAGTCCTGACTTGGAGCCTCTGATTTTGGGGGGTAACATTAGGCTCACCTTAAAAGTACAACATTTTTCAAGTCGACTTAAACTAATACAACTTACATATGGTGCAAGAATTAAATAAAATCAGCCGAAAAATTGACGAATAAGCTATAAATACTCACGGAGAAGAAACAGAAACAAAATTGGAAGATAAAAGATTCATACTTTGACTGGGGTATGATTTTGAGCGGAAGAGATCAAGAACAGAGGGCTGGCCGTGGATTTTGAGAAGTGGAGAAGTGGCAGCATCAGACTGTTTCATTCAGGTTGAGAATTGGAGGTGGGCTTTGAGCTCCTTCAATTTATCTGGGCTTCTTTACCTTCATTTTTGTAGGCTTGTAGAATTCTTTTGGAAACATCAACTTTGATGTTAGTTCTTGTGACCCTCTCCTAAAAAACGTGCATGCAACCTACCACACATTTTTCTTTTGTCAACTAGACCAGTAAGAATCGAGTCGAGTTGTTCTTTTGCAATATCTTAACCTTGATCAAGAATGCCCTTTATTTTTCTTCAATTGAGAACAAGAAACTCGTATCAAAAAATCTTCATAGATAGTATTTACAGCGAAGTACGGATATTATTTACTTTCTTTATTTTTTATTTCGGATAATATTAGGATGGCTCAACCACGTGATTTCAATTTGGACATTGAAAGATATTATACATTCTTGTTTTATAGAATTGTTTATTTACGAACAATAATGTAACAATCTTTTAAGATTTTACTTGCACGACCAAATAATTCTTAAAACAATAACAAAATTATATTTCTCATATCAATAAAAATATATGATTCTAGAAAAATACAGACATATATAACACTTCAATACTCTTTGATGAAAAAAGAAACATCTAATGTTCAATATTATTAATATTTCCGAGCTGTTAAATGAAACAAGCAATCAATATATAAAAATAATTATAAATTAATACATTTTTTATTAAAAAAATTGATTTTTTTCATAGAGAAATTGGTGGTAAAAAAGGAGAGAAAAACAACTCTATTTACAAATTGGTCTATTTAAAAGAGAGAGAGAGAGAGAGAGAGAGATAAAAATGAAACGAAAGTAATAAAAAGAGAATAGTGAAAATAAAGAGAAAAATATTTATTTTTTATAATGAATGACGAAATAGAAATATTGAAGAAAGAGAAATATTGAAGTCAGAAATTCTATTACACGGTCTGAAAAATCGTTCTTATCATATAGATAATAAAAAACTCGCAATCAAATAAACCAACTTGATATCACCAGAGCGGTTACAAAATTTGCAATGATACGTAACTTTGCAATCATACATACGTTTAATACTTTGAATTGATATAGAACAATGACAAAAAAAAGGTCAAAAAAATACATATCAAGTCCCAATGTTCCTCAGAATTATTCAAGCAGGCTCACGACCATTCCCAAATTGCTGCTGCAGGATTAGGTATATATTGCATAAGATAATGGAAAAAAGTGGAAGAAAGCCAAATACCAGCTGGAGAGTTTACTATTAATTATTTTGAACTTTCTCCATCTTCGTCAATGCTGACAACCCATTTAAGCTTTTGTTTAAATTTTTCGTACACAAATACACCCGTTAAAAAGTGTCACTTCAATAGTCCATCTTGCCAAACGGACCCTCCAAACAGCAGGACAACATAAGTGCACCGCCAGCTAATTCAATAATAACGACAAGACAATAAGAAATGAATCATAAAATTTGTACCAAATTACATAATCTTCTTTTGGGGTTTCTTGGCCTTGTCATAATGAATATGTACATGCATTTTGGTGGGACTAATACATTGTAGGTGGCAACTTTACGATAAAGACTTGGGGGTCCAGTGACCTTACAATCCCTTTAGTTTTAATCTTACTCCGAGTATGAGCTAATGGAATAATTAAACTTATAATACTTGATCCGATGTCCAGGACAATGTTAAACAAATTGCAGAGATATCAAACAGGTCAAAGGATATAACAAGGGCTAATCTTTATCTTTATTGTCCAAAAATGCAAGTTGGCCAGCTGTGGAGTCTCTTTCAAATGATAGGTATGTCGTGTTCAAACCTAAATTTCAATTCACATTGAGTCCCCAACTCAAACATGTTATGCTCTTTCCAAGTTATGTCATTATTTGAAGTCTCGCCAACAACCATTTATGAATACCGGGCACAGGTCAAGGAAAAATGAATCAAATCTGAACATGAGCGAGCATATAGAATACTAAATTAAGCCAAAATCAAGTATCACTCGGCCTTTTATAAACCAGATTATGAAATTATTTAGTACAACATTCCGTACAATTTGGATTATTCCAAACAAAACTTCTCATCAACTCAAAACAAAAGCTAGCTATAAACCCCAAATTACTCAATAAAAACCCACCAAAAACACTTGCTATATACACGAAGTAACAAAACCATCTAAAATACCTCTCTATGGAGTGGAAGCCTCTTGTCTTGATTCTCTCAAGTACATAAGTAGCATTTCAGCCTGCCAAATATAGCCATAGACGATCAATATCATTCTTCCCATTAAAAACACAATGTCGTGAAGAAAATAGCAGCTTGCTATTAAAGAATCCAAAAATTATGGTGGACCATAAAGGTCATTGAAAGCAACACTGCACCAATTATTCTTCCCTTATTTCATAAAAGAGTCGGATATCAACCTAGTGAATTTGAAATATCACATAGCCAGTTTTGAATAACAGACAACAGTGCTAATCATGAATCAAGACCAAACAACTAGTTGTAACTGGACCACAAGATTAATGCATAACTTTGATTATACGTTTGTGGTGCTATCATTTAGTATTCAAAAAACTAATACAAGTCAATCTCTGAGCACCTTGCAGGACATTCTAGGCCCCTCGTTTGACAATCTATCTAAAAAATGTTAAAATACTTAAGCAGCCTAAATGCACCTATCCTAATAAAATTCAAATCAATTAATACAGTGATCTGTGCTTACTGAATCTGAATGTTGCCGTGAATTACTTAAAACCATGTAAGGCCGTAGGAATAGTGGTATTAGAATTGGCATTGGAGTTGGAGAAAGTTTTTTCCAACTATGAATCAAGTCTTAGCAAATATCATGTCCTGATCCCAATTCTGTAGTGTAAAACATACAAGAAAATATGTTTCGGTCATTCCAGCAAATAAGTAAAAAATCATATCACCTAAAACACTATATTTGCAGTCATCACGCGACAAGAATGAAATGATTCAAGGGACATAGGTCTTAAGAAACTAAGTAAACAATATAACCTAATTAGCATTTAATATGCATATCATACCACCTAAAACGCAATATTTGCAATAAACATAGATGTTTCATGGTTTATGGGTCTTAAGAAAATTAGTAAACAATCTATCCAAACTAGCATTTGAATCGCATTTCATACCACCTAAATTGCTATATTCACCATAAAAATCACGACTTAATGAACTGATTCAAGAGTTATAGAGTTTAAGACTCACCTTATGCATAGCTTTAGCCGTCCCAGTCTGTGATAATGCAACAAGAGGGGGAATTCCTCCCTCCCCAACAAGCAATTCTCTATTCTTAACACTCTCCCCACACAACTGCAACAAAGTTAAAACCGCAAATTCCTTGCCCTTGTCACTCCCATCCTCGAGTGCCTCCACAAGAGCCACGATCCCACCTTCCTCCATGATAGCCTCTCGTCCCATTTCAATCCCAGCTAAACTGCTCAACACTACCATGGCCTTCTCTGCCAGGCCTGTTCCCTGCTCCCCCACAAGCCCCACCAACGGCCCCACAGCACCCGCGCTCACAGCCCTTCCCTTATTCACCCTCACTGAGCATAGCTTATATAACGTCGTTAATGCATCTTTTTTTCCCCTATTCGACCCGTTTATGAGCAATGCCACTAAAGGTGGGATTGCGCCGCAAGCCCCAATGGATGATTTATTCTCATCAATCAAAGCCAAGCTCAACAATGCACACGCTGCGTTCTGTTTAGAAGTTTCAGTCCCTGTTTTCAACACATATATTACGGATTTTATGGCACCAGAACTTGCAATTAAGCTTTTATTACTTTCATGGAGGGAGATATTAAGCAAAGCAGTAACTGCATTTTCCTGTGTCCAAGGGTCCGAGGAACGAAGAAGCGAGATCAAAGCGGGTACCGCCCCGGACTCTCCAATCATGGCCCGATTATCGACCCGATTTTTCGCTAACTGTCTTAATTTAGCAGCCGCTGATCTTTTCACTGCAATTGAGGCTGATTTCAACCCATCAACACATATTTTAACAGTAGGTTGAAGGTCTTCTGGAGAAATAATTTCAACAATTTCTGTGGAAAATGTTTCTCTCTGCAAGAATCCTGCACATGGTTCTGGCTCGGGTTCAGATTTCGATCCCTGGTTCAGGTCCGAATCTACTAAACTCGGTAAACTTGCGAGCAGCTGGAGCTCTCCGGAGACATCACTGGAGCATGCCGAGTAATCGCTGAATGTCTGTGAGATTTCCAAAAAATCGTCTACTGCGTCCGACGATGTCGAGGGTTTTGAATGAATATGTGATTTATTGGCGAGTTCGCCGAGTCGCATGTCAACCACTGAGTCGGTCAAGTTCTCGGAGACAGGTTGCGATTTCTCAGACTGGAAGACGTTGGACCGAATGGTGCGCATGGAACGACCTACGGAGCGGAAAGATTTGGTGGTAGATGGCGGCGGAGTGTAGTAACACAGCGGCGTCAGGTGGGAGTGAGTAGCATTGTTGGAATTCGAGTGGGAGTGTGAATCTTTTAGATAAACCATGATTTAAAACACTTGCAAATAACAATATTTAATTTACAGTATAAGCTGATGGGTCTCTAGTTTGCACGATACTACACTTGGAAACGTTATTTTATAATTTGAAAGTTCAAGAAATGCTCTAAGAGCTTGAAGAGAGTAGAGAAAATGGCGGATTTATAGAGGGAGCTGCTATGCAGAAGATTAGGTTGGTCTATTTGGTGCAGTTGTCATTGGGCTAATCTCACAGGCTGTGTGGGAATAAATGTCACGGCATGACGGCCCTGTTACGCTAGCAGATCCTTGATGCTTCGAGTGGGAAAGCGGCGATAGCTAAGTGGCACGTTATTTTTGGATGGGTTGATTTCGTTACGAGAAATGCAATTCATTCCCACTGAGAATGCATATGTGACGTTAATGTGGTATTAAATAATAGGTGAATTTAAATAACTCATTTAATTTCACATATCATTTAATCAATCATTTACATCCACATAGACTGAGGATACATCCCAGGATGAATAGCATTTCTCTTATCAATTATACCATATTTAAGATAAAATAGTTATAAAATATTAATGGAAGTAGTTAATCCAAATACGAACTAGGGCAAATTGTCAGTGAAAGGCAAAGGCGGCAACGAAATTGACAAACCAACCACAAATTTTACCCTAAAAAAGTATCGTCCAAACATCATAACCACCAATTTCTCAAACAAACTTCCAATGTTACAACACCAGTGAATAACTTCAACATGTTAAGTAGATGAAATTACAGCACAAGAGATTTTCACATATCATTTAATCAATCATGTACATCTACATAAATTGGGATGCATCCCCACTTGGGATGAATAGCATTTTTCTTTTGTTATGATGTGATACATTGTTTTACAAGTTGGATATTTTTTTATTTTTTACATTGTTTTACAAGTTGGATATTTTTTTATTTTTTTTAAAGTAATAAGAACAATTTTTATTTATAGCGATCCTAAACAAGTCAGTGATTCTACTGCTATATAAATTGATTGTTAAAACTAAGTTCATGTTTCAAAGATTTTTTTTTGAAAATAATGAGTTTTGGAATTGTTAATTTTCGGAGAATGAGTGGTTAAAAAAAATGAGAGAGGCACCCTGACCGGCCCCCTCACAATATAACTTTTTTGTCAAATAATTTTGTATAATTAGACTATTTCAAAAAAAATTGGATTTACAGGAAAAATATATTGTGATAATGTGCAATTGAAAAATGAATTTTTTTTTTCTTTATTTGATTAAGGGTGACAAATTATCTAGGAAAAGTAGGTAAAAAAAAAGACTATATCACCAGTTCGATTTGGATAAAAATCAATTTTTTTAAAAATATTGATAAAAAATGATGAAACGTGTGATTAAAAAGTTGATAACAGTTGTGGATCTCATTAAATTTATAATTAAAAGTGAAATTGAAAAAAAAAAAAGATTTTGAATAGAGAAGGACTAACAAATACTATGTATCGACGATAATGAGCCGAAATCGTGGATCGTGTTGGGCTGGCCACGGGATCATATTTTACATATAACTCTCTTCGAGCTTCTCATCCTACAATTTTGAAGTTTTGAAGAAAAACCAAAATGAAACAATGCATAACTCCTACATATAAAAACCATATTTCACAACTAACAAACCCTAAAATATTTCATAATAATAATAATAATTTTAATCAACATATTTACCATACCCCACCCCTCCAGAAAACTTTCCAAAAATTGAAATTTGGATATTACACCCCCACCCCAATGGAACCACCCTATGACACCCCACCACACCTCACGGTAGAAAAAACTCAAAAAATTGAAAACGATTTCTCTCTATACCCCATGAAGAAAAATCTCCAGAAATTACGGTGCATTGTAGATGACCAGATTTGTGGCTAACTGTGTTATCCGTGATCATATTTATTGTTTGTGATCATACTTGTGTTATATATGACTATTTGTGATCAAATTTGTCTTCAGTATGACTGTTTGTGACCGTCTTTTTGTGATTGTTTGTAACCAAGTCATTGACCTATGTTATTTGTGATTAACTATGACCAAATTTGTCTTTAGTGTGAGTAGGAATGTAAACGAGTCGAGTCGAAAGTCACGGCTTGGGTAAAAAATGGTTCGAGCTTTTTTAGCCCGAACCTTGCCAAAGCTCGATCAAAAATTCAAAACTCGGCCCAAACCTTATGGAGCCGATCCAAACCAGCTCGTGTTTTTTTTAAAGGTGTGAAATTCATTTTTTTTAACAATATAATTATGTGCAATCTTGAAAGAACTGTTTGATGGCCCGTGACTGTATAATTATGACTTGACGGCACATTGAAAGATTTTCAAAAAAACTTTAGTCCATCCTACATTTTAAAACACAGGCTGATTAGGGTTTGGGTTGATGCTTAAAAATGAGGCTTAACTTGAGCCCCTAGCCAAGCCGACTCGAGCTTCTTTCGGGTCGAGCCATATGCCGTCCGAGCTGCTAGCCAAGTAGACATCCCTAGGTGTGACTAGATTTGTATTTAATGTAGCTGTCTATAACCGATCAATCTTAACTGTGACTATATGTGATCAGTCACAACCAATCACAATTAACACAAAATTGGTCACAATACATACTTGGTCATATAGGGTCACCACAAACAAATCTACATACACTGCAGACCAGTATCATAATCCACCACCAATCACATTACCTCCAATGCACCACCACTACCACCTTCAACTCAAATCCACGACCATAAATACTACATTCACCTCAAATCCACAACAACAATCATCACCACCATCAGTTATACCAGACTTTCAATAAACACCAATCAGTACATCTACACTACCAAATGTAGATCAACACAACTGCAAATTTACATTACCCGTAGATCTACACACCACAATCACAGCCACCATCGGAGGTGACAAATCACAGTCATGCTCCATTGCAACAGCTCCAATTAGGTCCAAATCTTTACACTCTGATCCCAACGGGTTGCAATGTTAGCACCACCACTATTTCAGCCACTCCAAATTCTCTCATTTTCAAATCCAAAAGTAACGGAAAATGCTCCAGTAAATTTGTATAGCTAAGAGCTTGTTTGGGAGGAATTTTAATCCAATTAAAATTGAAAATATAGTCGTTATTGAGTCCAACTTGTCTAATAAAAGTCAACAATAACGGCTAGTTTTTCAATTTTAATCATATTTTAATCTATACCAAACAAACTCTAAATGTTTTCAAATTCTCTCACGATCTTATACTTCACGTTTCATAATAAAGACAAATCTAACTTCTCGAGTGCAAATTTGTTTAGCTAAATGGTCTTGTCCAAACAAGATGTAACCCTTATTTGATTTTCATTATTTTCAAAATATTTTTTTCCCTCTTTCTTTCAGCCACACATTTTTCAATAAAATAATATTACACGTAAATCTAAAGCATTTTCTTATTTTTTAATCATACATTTTTCATCAATTTATTATTTTAGAATGCATTCTTGCACTATAAATGGGGCTCAATCAGGCAAGGAGTAACCACCCAGGAAGTAACTAACAATTTGTGGCCTACCATGCGTACGGGGTCAGTGACAAGTGTTGTCGGAAATTTGACTATCCCAATCGAAAGAACAAATAAAAAAGCAGGAAAAACGGAAAAAAGCAGAAGCCGAAGCGAGGTATGCCAAAGCAAATCTCCTTAAGACAGATTTCGCCCCCCAACAACGTGCAAACAGGATTATGGACGTCTGTCTCCCAAGATACAACGCTTTTCCCAAAGTCGATATTGCACAATACCTACCTTGACGGTCGAACCAAATAATGATCGTACTCGAACGAAATAATCACGAAAATATCGAAGGAATTTTAGCAGAATATGGAGCGAGAAGAATTTAGAAATCAAGAATATATTAATTGATTTTGGTGTCCAAAAAACGAATTTGGAGGTCTCTATTTATAGAGATTGAAGTGTCTCCTTGAAAGGGTGTGTAACATTTCATGAATTGGTGCACCACTTGATCTGATCTGTTATAGTCATTGGATCGCACTCTTTCATAATCTGACGGACCAGATTAAACCACAAAATGTAGTGTCCATTCATCATGCCTATTCACCAATTCTGAACAGTCACCAGCCATGCAGTTGCCACGCGTACGTCCAACAGGACCAACCGCCATGCAGGACGAAGTGACGCGACGTGCGCGGGCCCGGACCGGAACCGGGGCGTGGCGTGAGTGTACTCTCGTGGTGACTAGTTAGCTAGCCAAAGGGCTAGCTAATAGTTAGTCAAGTTGTAGGTCACTTATTAAATTATAACTTATACACATATCCCACTATATAAACAAGTCTATTTTCTTGTAAACTTTCGATGTGGGATTCCTTACCATTTATAAGACACTTAAATGGGCTTATAACATATGGGCCTATATTGGAAACTTTTCCAATTCACCCAAATTAATTACAACGGCCCACATCATTAAATAACATATTTAATGACCCAAATAAATATCATTAAATAACACATTTAATGATCCAAATAAATCAATTAATTCCAACAACAAGAGCTTTCCAAGTGTCCCTCCTTACATGTACGACGTGACCACCACCCAGCAAATAACTAACAATTTGTTGGCCCGCCATGCGTACGGGGCCAGTGACAGGAGCTTTCCCATTGTATTGTCCCTCCTTACATGTACGACATGACCATTTCTTTTGGGTGTCGGAGTCGGAACTAGTACAATAATCGAAGAACGATTGTAGGAATTGACTTTTTTGACCGCTTCTTCTTCTAAATTCATTCGAGTTCCATGGTGGGGGACGACGAGTTGGAGGACGAGGGCAAGCTTTGGAGTCGACAATACATTAAACGAAATTTTAGGGTGGGAATTAAGCTTGGTAACATAATTATTTGTTTTGTTGTTCATTCTATTAAACGCTCAATTAACACAACAGGATTTAAAATTTTAATCAATCGATAATTGCCATTTAAAAAAGATTGTCTTTAAAGGAAATTTTTTG